ATAAATATATTTTATATATTTATTATTAAGTATAATAAATTTCATGTATTTCTGTATTTGTCATATATTTTATTTTGTTATCTCATGTATTTAATTCTATTCCTGATACTTTAAAGTAATTTTGATAAATTAATTTTGAACCATTATCGCACAATTTATGCCTTGTTTTGTAAGGCTTGTTAGTAACGTCGCCTAAGATAAGATTAATTTCAGTTATAACTCAATTTCTCTTTGACTAGCAAAACAGGAGACAATAACACGCGAAGTATACAACAAACTTCATCGAGAAATATTCTGAAAATAATATGAAAATGTGTGAAATGTCCATATCAGTGATAGTTAAATAATTTAAAGCGCAATTATGCATATATAATATAGATGTGTACCAAAGATCAATTATTTAATAGTAAGCATTAAAAATGGATATTAAGAATAGCGAAGATAATAGTATGCGACCTCGTAGAAGAGGTTATTATTCAAACATTATTACGGGTGAGTTTTTCATAGTTATTACATTTGCAATTAAATGGAGATCGCAGTAAATTATATTATACTGATCATAATTTTATAAATTGCAGGAACCAAACCATTTAGTTTTCTACCTACTGCTTCGAGAAAAACCAAACTTATGTGGCAAATTCGCACGGAACATCATAGTCCGATTGTGAAAGATATTAAAATAAAGGAAACACATACTCATCTCGGTGCAGCAGAACGATGGATAACTTTCCCTGAAGATAAGTCTATCGTACGCAAATACATAATTATGCAAAAGTAATTTGCTTCCACTGATTGATTTGATTAATGTTTTATTTAATTTGTTTTATCGATTTAACATGTATTTTTGTCGATTTTATATGTAATATGTCATGGAAATATGGTAATTTTAAATTAATCATTTTGTAAGAATAAAAAAAAATGATAAATAACATGAAAAAGAAAATTTATTATAATTATAAAAATAAAGAATAATTTAATGAGTTGCATTATAGATTTAAATTTGCTATTGTATGCTTCGATCGATATTTTTTTTATTTTTATTCGTAATATTTGTCTAAAATTTTTTATGATATTTTATGATTTTTATTGTGTAACAAACGTATATAAATTCTCATGGTTATACAATTTTCAACAAAAAATATATCCGGTACTTAATAATTTTTGACGAATTTTTATCTCTTATTATGAAGGCTTTTCCAGCGGAGACATTTCTACCAAAAGTGCAAATGGAATATACTGTTGGACCAAAGGTGCTGCCGCGCAACGTTGAAATGGAAAGAAGACGAAGAGCGTACAAGAATCTGAAAATAGAAGACGCTTTAGAAGCGGAAGGTGTCAAATCGCATGACATGTTACCGCCTGAGAAAATCTGTGCGTTGCTTTCGTACGATGAAAAATACGATTTGTACTCTAAGGCAAATTACTTACCATTGGAACTCTTTGACGACGAGGAATATGATTGTAGGTGAGAACGACACTATATTATAATAATAACCAAGTTTGCTTTCTGGAGTACTAATATTGCTTTAAATTTTTGTCTATAAAATTTATGAAATAAGAAAAATTGCGTACATTTCCACGTATAAATTAAAAATATAAAAATTGTAATATATATAACACATACAAGGCACTATTAGAATATGTAATGTGATTTTTAAGAAAAAGTAAAATAGTATAAAAATAATTTAAAATTTTGAAAAGAGTTAATTAATAATGCTAACCAAGAGAGCTAAATAAATAATAATGTAAATAAAAAAAGATAAATTGAGATAAATGTTAAGGAATTTTTAATATAAAATGTGGTTTATCATTTTTTAATCTACTGTCATCATATTTGCATGTATTTGATATAATAAACATGGCAAAAATTAAAATAAATCCAACATGATCAGAAAAGAGTAAATATGATAAAGGGAAAAGTATTTCTAAATATATTGTATTATTAAAAATGTGGAGTATCCAATAATACACATTGTTATTTAATTAACTTAATTATTATTTGTTTTAATTTATTTAAAACTGCTTACTGTATTGCAATTACTTAAAAAATATTGTCTTATCATATAGATTTATCGAAAGTAAGATATCAATTTATAATAGAGATTCTTTTGCGTGCGAAAAGAAGATAAAGATTTATAACTAATCTAAGACATATTTCACTTTACTAGTATTATTTTATGCATAGAAGGTATAAAGCGATATAACAATAGATGTAGCAGAACAGCAGTTATTAGGTTATAGAAACTTGCAACTCAATTTCGTGTTTCTGGTTAATTTTGATGGTAATAAATTCCAAAAGCGTAGTTTCGTGCTAGGAAGCAATATTTGGGTAAATCATAGCAAATACAGGCTATTAAAGTAAGTTATTAGTCGAGTATCATACTCAACTAAAGCTTTAATATTAAACAAGCTTCTCAAAGCATTTGCAAACTATTACAGCTATTAAATTTATTTCCATATATTCAATAATATTTAAATTTAGGATTAGATTTTTATAAATCAAAATTTTTACTTATAATTTATATAAAAATTTATAATTACTGAATTAATATGACATATCATGTACTAATATAATATCATCTTTCCAATTATAAATACATAATTTGTAATATTCTGCGATTCGGTAGAACGGCAGATGAATGGATAAATCTTGGCATCATCGATGGTGTTCGTTATCCGTTACCAGCCACAGTATTTGTCGAGAAAATTTTACACAAAGAAAGAATATTTGATCGTGATGACAAAACGCTCAGCAACTTGTTTGGTTGGTTTCCTGCCGCCATTACGGATTATGATAACAAGCGGAAACTCTGGTCTGTTTTCACTTTGGATGCTCTCAAGCGGAAATTCCTTTTACCCAGAATATACGTCCGATTTTATGGAGAGGATCCCGGGAAATTTGCCCAAAGAATAGCTAATGCCGTTAAACAAAGACAAATTACTGAAACTAGGATTAGGTTAATGTGCAAATTTATTTAAGGGTTCCAGTATAAAAAAAAAACTCTTCTTTGCACTAAAAAAGCAATTTTTAAAAAATTACAAAAATTAGTTTAATTAAATATTTATAATTATATAATAAATTAATAATTAAATATTTATACTGTTTAATATTAATATACTTATATATTTTTTAATTTTTAATATTAATGGAATTAAAACATTAGCATTATCTTACAAAAAAAAGTTTCTTCATTTTAGTTATATATTGGTAGAGTCTAAAATGTTTAAAAAATATTTAACTTTACATACAAGACTTATATACAAGATACATATATATATAAATTTTTTTTAATATTTTGTATGTTAGAATAAAATGTGTGGAGAATATTTCTAAAAGTATAACTTGGATAAATTCTCTTATCGTTATATATTTATGCGCAATATAATTAAAAAAATAGATTTACGTGGAAAAAATTATATATGGTTTCATTTAGAATAAACATAAAATAATCAATATTCTTCAAAATAAAAACTTTTTTTCTATTATTAAATTCTATTTTGAAAAAATAATGCAGAAAAATCCTATATGTTTCCTACTCTTTCTTCTATTCATCTTCTACTCATTAATAATTATGTAAAACAATTATCTTACACAAATTCTGGGGATCTATATATCTATATAAGGATAACTCTATAAAAAAATTTTAATGAAGTCAGTATATATATAATACTATCTTGTATTTTAATGTTTTGAAAAAACAATATCATTAAATATATTGCTAATATAACTTTAAAAATGTCTATTTTACGTAGCAAACATAAATTTTTTTATCAATATTTAATATATGTATATATTGAAAGATCTAAAAAAATCTACTGTTGGTTGCGGCGGAAGATGATAAGAAATTCCAGAAATAAACACTTTTTATATGTTTCTGTAGATCTAGTGCAAAATACTTTTAATATTTTAAGATTATAATATTTTTGCACGATATTTAATTGTTATAATTGTACCTAGATATCACTTTTATTTGGACTGCATGCTGGTAGACGGTATGCCAACACTCGATGAGAAGCAACAGGAAGTTATAATTCTATCAGCCACGCTACAAGGTTCCATGAAATACGAATTCGAACACCTTTCCAGCGTAGGTGCATAACCGTATATATACTACTTATTTTCTTCCAGTTATTGAATTTTTACCGTAACATTTAGTTAATAGACGAAGTTGTTTTGGAGTATTGCCGCGTTATGTGCGACCTTATGTGGAGGCCTCTTATAGAGAAACAGGCGGAAATATTTAATTTCATTACGTGGGAAGAAATCAATGATATCCGCGAATTTGACATACCGAAGACGAGAAAGATTTGCACTGAAATGAAAGATTTTACGGTATTTATCTTTCTATGATATTTGCTATGATATTTGTTTGGTCTGTTCATCTTAATCATGAATTGTAATTAAAAAAATATTATCATAGAGAACGAAAAATTTTTTCCATTGGATAGTATTATACGTTACGCCGGAAGTACACGAAGCTATGCAGTGCGTAGTCGTTGAGTGTATTCACGTGTCGAATATGAATCTGTTCATCCCGATTTACGGAAAATCAATACATCTATTGGAATACAAATTGCAACAGCATCAAGAAACTGGCTCGGTGATAAAGTATCTGAAAGAAACGTGGGTGGAAAAAATTACACAGTCGGTTAGATTGTGTTTAAGAGACATCGGAAAAGGATGGTTTGATCTGGAGCAACGAAGGCACGATATATACGATGTAATGAAATTGAAACGATTCATGGATCTTATTGTATATCGAATGCAGGTATTGCGTAAAAAAAGTACTGAAGTCTTTAAGAAAGAATTAATTGCATTTTATAAGAATGTTTCAGGTTGTACAATATATTATATAATAAAATATATAATTATTTTATATATATCTATAATTTTAATCTAATATGTGGTTATAATTAAATCCTGGATTAAGTAAATAGAAGATAAGGAAATTAAAATAGAATTTATTGATTGTGTTAAAAAAAGCAATAAAAAATATTTATTATAAAAAGGAAAATAAAAAAGTCGATTCAAACTCACATCTGAAATGTTTAGATCGCGCGAATAAGAGCATAAAATTTATAAAATACCTATTTGTTTAAATAAAATAAAAACACATATTGATTATAATGTATATAAATTATCAATTTACAAATTAATTACACAACATAACTAATAAAAATGCAGAATATTATAATTAACCTGATTATAATATTCTATTTATTATCATAGAATGCGCTTCGGAATTTAGTGGAGAGATCAATTGCTCTGTATTTAGAAATGCTAGAAATTCCAGCGCTTTGTACATTAAATATAGACGAAAATTTTACATGGGGAGACGATCTCGTAAACACGCAATTTAAATCTCCAGTGAATCCTATTTTTAATATTGATATCGCAATGAATGATAAAACTGCATATTACTTAACGGATCTTGAATCATTTGAGGTATGAACATTTAATGATTTTCTTGTGTATTAATATATAAATTATATTATTAGTTCACAAATTATTTTACAATTAAAATGTATATTTAAAAAAGTATGTGCACATACACATTTAAAAATGTATTTCGTATGGTAATAATTCGAAAGATATGACTAATTTTATTGTAGATGTAATTGTAAATTGTAGGTTAAAAATAAATATTTGACATATTAATTTATTAATTTTCAGGAAGTTATCGTAGATTTGTTAAATAATTCCTTGAGTCAATGTCATCAAATTAAACAGGTTCATCCTTTTTTGCTACCCTTCCTAAAGTTTCCTAAAGATTTGTATCTCAGCTCAGTCGGCTTACTGGAGAAGGAAGTTTGCGAAGTTCGCGATCGTTTGAGAACCGCTTATCAAAAGTCTATAATACCCCTAAAAGCATACTCAAGCGAGTACCAACAGTATCTAGAAATTTATAAATTAAACATTGAAAAATACGTGGAGTGAGTATAGATCGCTTGGAGCAATACCAGATCGTTTAATCTCTTTTTCCGACATTTTCTCTATTTGCAACTTTTCTTTTTTCTTGGTTCTCAACAAAATGGGATTGATTATAAAAATCTATAAATACCGATTATTTTTTTTAGCCATTGTCTCTTGCAGGGATTTCAAGAATGCGGATCACACCGCCGCGGAAGTCAAGGATGAAATATCCTTTCACTTCAAGATGAAATCGATTCTCGAATTGACGCTGCCGAAGGACATCGTCATAGGACCCTTCCGCGTGAATATCCAACCTCTCAAACAATTCTTGATACAAAAACGACAAAACTGTTGCACGCAGTTGCTCGTAATGTTCACCGAGAGCCTAAGAGCACGGATCGACGTCGTTTTATCTGATTATATGCAAATTAGAACGAGGCTAAAGGCAACGTCGCGCGATATCGAGCACTTATTCGAGGAGCAGGAGTGGATGGAGTCTATACCGTTAACGGTGAAAGCTCTGGATAAAATTATACAGAAGCTGAAGCACGAATACGATGTCCTCGATCACTTCTGGTGGAATCTGTCAGATCAAGACTTCGAAGCTAAATGGCAAGCCATCGGCTTTCCTCGGCAAATACAGTTACATGTAAGCATCATTACAATTGCGTCTTATCGTAATATACAGACGCCTCAGTGTATGACCAATCAAAATATTATGTATTATATCCATATATATGGATATTTAAAAAAAAAACATGTCTTCATTACATATCCATTTTCTCGTATATTATGCACAGATAGAAGAGGCTAAGGAACGTTTTGCGAATGAATATGAAAAATTCTACAAGGCTCAGATACAAGACGAAATTTTGCTTACGGAGAGAATCAACACACTCGTGGGAAACGTTATGAATGTAGCGCTGCAAACGGATATCAACAGAATACTCGAAATGGCCATAGAGGTGAAGAGAATCTGGAAAATGGTAAAGGATTGCCAAGAATCGAGTTTATTATTGAACGAGCGACAAAAATTGTTCGGCATGAACGTGGTGCGGTTTGAGCAATTACATCAATTGATGAAGGAATTCGAACCGTATCAGATTTTATGGATTACTGCATCCGGTAATTAGATGAGAGAAATGCGTATTACATCAAAATTATAAAATTTTGGAAAACCTTTCTATTATATAAAATAATAAGATTCGAGTTTTTTTTTAAACTGAATACTGTAGATTTTCACATTTATGTGGCATTAAGTTTGCTAATTTTTTCATCAAACTTTGTATAAGTATTTATAATTATTTTTTGCTTTTTTTTATTTAATTTCTATTGTATTTTTTATTATTGCTATTTTTTAATTCTACTCTATTTTATTTACCATTTTTATTTTATTTTACAGAGTCAATTTTGAATGATAATATATCGTTAAATATCGTCAATGTATTTAAGTAATTCTTTTCATATCATTAACGTATCATGCACATCTTCAATAACTCAACATTATTTATAACCAATTTAAACCGAATATTTGCAATTCTTACATCCAAAACGCAGATTGGTTAAAGTGGCAAGAAGTGTGGATGGAGAATCCTCTGATAAACATTGATGCTAATCAAATTGAAAGCATGGTTACCGACATGCATAAAGCTATGTCGCGTTGCGTGAAAGTATTCCAAGAGAATCCAAGTAGGTCGATATTTCGTTTAAAATTCATTGAATTTGAAATGTATTATATTTGCAATTCATAGAAAAACCGGCAAGTGATGTAAAAAATAATTGATACACTCTTTCGCAAATTGTAGAGATAGCCGCTATAGCGCTCACTATAAGAAGTCAAATTGAAGCATTCAAGCCTTACATCGGCATGATACAGGCTCTACGAGATCCAGGAATGAAGACGCGACATTTTGAGGAACTTACTAAGGAAATCGGCATACAAATGGAACTCACGCCAACTTTAACTTTTAAGACCTTAGTTTTCCTCGGTGTGATGAAATTTGAAGATACTGTGAAAACCGTCGCAGACGCTGCAGCGAAGGAATATTTGATAGAGAGTGCCTTGGATAAAATGATGATCGAATGGGAAACAATTACGATGGACGTTCTTCCGTATAAAAATACTGGTACGTAAAGAAAACATTTCTCGTATATATTTGAAACTCTTTCTCGTATATATTTGAATATTGGATTTCAACAAATTGTAAGATACTAAATTTTACATTTATTCTATTTTTAATGCGTTTTATTATATGACGAAAATTATAGAAAAATATATGTATATTTTAACAAATATAAAAACATATAATATTTGGAATTCAACAAACAGTAAAATATCAAATTTTACGTTTAATCTCTCATGCGTTTCGCAAAATAAACAATAAAAAGAAATATATATTTTAACCAATTAAAAATTTTATTCGTTTATTATCTTTTTTTACTTAATGATTTATAAAGATAGATATAATTAATTAAACTAAGAACTAAAAATATATCTTGTGTTATATTATAAATATATTATCTATTTTTAAAAAGTACTTGAAACATTAAAATTAACATAATTAATTTAATTAATTCTTGTAATATAAATAACACATTGATTCAGTTATAATGTATAATGTCTTAATTATATTATATATAGCATTTATATATAGCATTTATATATAGGTACATATATAATGAATATTTCCGACGAAATCACTACTCTTTTGGACGACGATATACTTAACACTCAGCATCTAAGTCTCAGTCCTTTTAAAGCTGCCTTTGAAAGTCGAATCGATGAGTGGGAAGTTAAATTGAGATTAATTCAGGAAGTGATCGCGCAATGGACGGAAGTACAAAAGTAACAATTACATTTCAACTTCCGTTCGTCGCTATTAAATAGATATATACTATTGATTTAATAGAATATATGCACAGGCAATGGATGTATTTAGAGCCGATATTTTCGTCGGAGGATATTAATCGGCAGTTACCCGTAGAAACAAGAAAATTCAATACAATGCAACGTAACTGGAGGCGAATCATGAAAAATGCATATGATTGCCCATACGTATGTAAAGTAAATTTGTTGTCATACTTCGCGTACATTTCTCAATCCGTCGAATTCTCGATCTATCGGAACGATAGAAATTTTACATAAAAATTATTAAATTGGGAAGAATGTTTTATAAAAAAAATGCGTTTGTGATATCAAATTGTATTTATTTTATATTAAAAGTAAGACTTATTAAACAGAAATATTAAATCAATATTTAATATGTTATTTTTAGTTTTGAGTGTGCAGTTAAGCATTGTATCATATTAAATTTATTCATTGTTTTATGTATGTTTTGTAGCAACTTTGATGTGTTATTATTAATTTTGAAATAAGAGCTAAAAACCGTAACTAACTTTTATGTAAACAACTCAATGTTATTATATTGATTTTATTTGTTGTGTGTTGCCTACATTTTGTAACAACTTTGTTTACATTTTAAAGAGTAATATACTTCAAAAATATATTTGCAGCACATTTTTATCATCATTTATGTTATCTCAATTTCAATGCACATACAATCGTTCTTTTAAATTTAAAGTTTTTTGATATTTTAATATTTTAATATTTTTTATTATGTAAAAAAAGAGAATATATATTCTTTATAAATATATATATATATATAAATTCTGGTATCATATAAATATAAAAATCTCATCATATTTCACACTAATGACAAACTTTTCAGATAATTATAACGTGCGCGGATAAAATTTTACTGGAGAGCCTGAAGGAATGCCTATTGATCCTGGAAGCAGTTCAGAAGGGTTTGTCAGATTACCTGGAGACTAAGCGAATGATTTTCCCACGCTTCTACTTCCTGAGCGATGACGAGCTGTTGGAGATAATTATCCAGTCCAAACACGTGCAGGCGGTTCAACCGCATCTGAAGAAATGTTTCGAAAATATGAGGGAATTGAGATTCGAACACGATCTCAGAATAACGAGAATGTATTCCGCCGAGTACGAGGAGGTCACGCTACGACCATTGATCTATCCCGAGGGAAATGTCGAGAATTGGTTGGGACAGGTCGAGGACGCAATGCGCAATACCTTGCGAGAGCTCATCGGCGAGGCCCTCGAAATTGTGGAAACGACATCGCGAAAGCAATGGTTATACATGTGGCCAGGCCAAGTAGTTCTTTGCGGGAGTCAGACATATTGGACCGCCCATGTGGAGGACGGTATCAAGAACAACACTCTGTCTGATTATTATAGTCTGATGTTGTTGCACGTACGTAATACACTAAAAATAAAAATTTTTTTAATCAGATAAATACATTTTAATTTTGATTTTTTTTTTATTTAAATAAATATATATACTTTGTTTCCAAAAATGTTTTGTTATATTAAATAAATTATTATTTGCAAGTAATAAAAATTATAATTTTTTAATAAATTATTTAAAATTTTAA